TCACGTCGCTGTACACTATGTACCCAGGTCTGTCGCTTTTCGACCAGGGTATACCCTGGTGTGTCGCTTTCCCCCAAAAAAATTACGTAGGACCCACCCTGACGTCACTTCATCAATGAGGTGTGCAAATATTAACCCGCCCCGCCCGAAACGATTCAAGAACTTTTTCATCACACAGACACACTTTTCATTGGTCAGCCGGTTAGCGCGGTCGATGCTAATAATTAATGACACAGACGGCAGTCACACATATCAGAAAAAAAAAATAAAAACACGCACAAACACATCAAAGCACAGAAACGCGAGTTGCAGAGCAAAGCTAGCAAGGAGCAGGCACAGGAGAAGCCGTAGCTGGGAACAGCTAGAGTCAATACCGCGAGGAAGAGAGGAGGCAGGTGATCTACGTTGTATTCGGGGCCGCATGTGCTCAGAGACTCTTTTGTGGAACACGTACCCAGACGCGCAACAACCTCATCCCTAGCCGTTGACAGCAGTCCATGCTGACGCGCGTCACGGCATCTAGCAACTGCTGTGTCGGTGTGGTTTCTTGCCCCTCGATCAAGCTTGTTTCCATGTGCCCAGCCAACGTTCTCTCCTGTTCCGCATTGGCTACGAAATTGTCCTTGAAGGAAGGTTTTCTGGCATAACATCGCTTGTGGAACAAATGTTACAGAGTAGTCGACATGGTACGGAACGGCCCCTCTTCAAATTCCCAATGACTGCAGCGTACCACTCACCGCGACCTGCGATGTTTTAAACCAGTGATGGAGTTATGACTTCCCCTTCAAATGGTCGCGGTCAAACGTCGCCATGTTTCGCGTGATATCCCCGCAAAATATGTAGTGTATGTGTTTATATAAGTGAAAGGGTTAAACTAGCTTCGTACCTCGGCGCGAGGTCCAGATGTGGGAAGTAACAGCAGTGCCAGCAGGCGCTGAACGATGAAATACTGAATACAGAAACTATCCGCAGGCGACGTTCCTACTTGCTTGTGCTGGAGCGTGACAGCTCGGAAGGGTGTGATGTGTGATATACCTGGAAGCGGCGTGGGAACCCCGTGACGTGAAAGCCGTGATAAAATGGTATAAACAAGGCCTTGGAAGCCCTGGACGCGTGGGAGCCGGGTGGCGTGGGTGGTGCGGAAGCCGGATAGCGTGATAGCGGGGGAAAAGACTTGATTACACACACGAAAGGGAAGCGAGAAGCCACAAACCACAAACACCATTTCCGTTGTAGACCCCCCCCCCTCAATCCTGTACAGTTGTGGGCCCGGTTTTGCGATCCATAGTGTCACGAAATTTCATAACCGCTGTTCAGGGCATCGCCGCTAAACCTCTTCAGCGGTCACCAACCGCTTCAGCAGGAGGCTCAATAGCGGTCATGAACTGCTAAACCGGGAAAAAGCCCATTTTTTCCCTACAAGAGCAGCGTCAAAAGCTCATCTTGACAGGGCCATGTGTCTCATTGCAGCAGCCATACGAAGGTGCAGATGAAGAAGTAACGAGAAGGACAACGCCGCAAGTACATTCATTTCTAGTGCATTTTTATTCGCCAAGTACGAGGAAGTTACTTATCCCTTCTGGACTGTATGCCCCTCATCAAGACTGGAATATCGTTCGCGTCTCTGACGAATCNTTATTCGCCAAGTACGAGGAAGTTACTTATCCCTTCTGGACTGTATGCCCCTCATCAAGACTGGAATATCGTTCGCGTCTCTGACGAATCGAAGGTGATCAGACAAACTTGTGACAACGCAATGGCAACCAACCACGTGCTTGAGCATCTCATTTCTGCCATGTGTCGCGATCGATCATTCTTCACTCAACATCATACCTCTGATATTTGCCTTGCGCGCTGGTTGAGCGGCGCGCGCTGCGAGGAACGCCGTTGTTGCCTTGCGAAAATAGTGTCCTGCCTCGCGTACGCCACACGACTCCGCGCTCTCCACGCTGGCCAAAATCCGATGATAGCTCCGAGCATGTATGGTGGCGGCGCCATCACCCCCCTGCCCTTCGCATCTTCAACTTGTGCCGTGGTATCTAGCCCTAGCTCTAGGTCATCGTCGGAGGGACCCCCATACTGGACAATTTTCAACAACCTCGTCATTGGCGTCCTCATGCAAAGCTTCGGCGATCTCTTCCTGTGCGCACTGTTTCTGAGTGCGCTACCTTCTGGTCAAGAATCTTCAAAACATTAGGCTTGTGGGGCTGTTGTGTAGCTGCAGCGCGAGTTGCTTCGTTCCGCACGCGTGGTGATAGAAATCCACCTTCCACCTCTTGGCGCTTGGGGCGGATTTGAGACGCGAGGGGAACTCTGCGCCTTCTTAGTTGCACGCCGGTTGCATCTCGTTGTCATCCGAATCCTCCACCTCCCCACACATGCCGTGTATGCGGCCGCCACAGGCCGAAGCGATCTATACAATCCTGCGCGCCGCTTGGACTCAGTGCCGCATCTAGAAGCATGCACAATTCTCCATCCACGCGACGCATGGTGTGTATCTTTATTATTAGCATCGACCGCGCCAACCGGCTGACCGATGAAAAGGTGTCGTCGTCAGTCTCAGTGCGGTTGAAACACAAAACACTTTTTTTATATGCCATTAACTGGGACTCCGTGAGGGGCAGCAGGCAAAAACTATTATCCGGATAGCAACTGAGGAACCCTGCTACCTTGCACTCGAGTTCGTTTCGGGGTGCTTTTTCACCATTATCCTCCTTGCTTTCATCACCGCCACTCTCATCGTCATTTTTACAGCTATTTTTCGGCGTTTCTTCTCTAAAGCCCTGCGTCGTTTGGTGTGTGTGTGTGTGTCTCGCTGTGTCCTTTTTATCATGAGCACCGACCAGGTAACAGGCTGACCAACGTCGCTATGCTGTGAGTATGTGCAAGCGAAGCGCGCACTAGGTCTCCGCAAAAATTGAACCGATTGCCGCTACTGATGGCTGAAAACATTTCAAATATCCGCTATTGAGGGCACAACCGGTTGAGTGGTTGAATAACCGCAAAACCGCGGTGCAGCCGTGTCACAAGATTTTATAACCGCTGATCAGGGCATCCCACCAAACAGGGAACCGCTAAACCGGGCCCACGACTGTATCGTATGCGGCAAAGTTGGTTCCGTCAGATTTAATCCGCTCCACATCTGCTCGGAAAGCTTTTGCTTGAAGTAATCTGTCGATACTGCTGTGAGTACATCTAATGGTGTGTTTTCCGATACATAGGGCTCGAATTGCAGCAAAGTGGGAGCGGATGAATCGTGTGCCCACCACGTGTCCGACCGTTCACATGACAGACATTTGAATTTGCAGGCGAACAGATGCACCCAGCAGTTGGAATCTGTTCATGACAAGCGCACAGACACGGCCGTTGCATTCTTTTTCGCTCTGTCTAGTGGCAGGGTAGCTTTTCACTGTGCGTCCGTTCTTCACACGGCACTGTCTCATATTCTTGACTCCCAATATTCCGTGGCAAACGAAAACCCGACGTTTTACTACGCGTTTTGAACACACAAGTGCATGGTAGTGGCCCCCTTACGAAAGGCTGTAAAGTGTCGATGCATTTAATCGGCCTGCGCAACGCCGCAGTCAAGAAAAAATCACGCCACCCGCCTTACTTCACGCATAGTCAGTGAGCACCTGGCATTGCAAAGTAAAACATCATCAACAACAGTAGGGGCGCTACTCTGGAATGAGGCCTTGAGGTGCCCGTAGCCAGACGGTCCTGACGCTGCTATTGAGGTACCATCATTTAATGCTCCATTGCGCAGCAACTACGTTTCGAGGGGGCGGGTTGCAACGCGTTGTCGCAGGGGAGAGTGCCCCTGATACACGCACACCGCAGAATTGCTGTCGCCTTGAGGCAAGCACGTGGAATGCGACCCAACAACGTTGGCTCGGCCTATCGTCTTCAACGTGGACTCGTAAGCACCCCAAAGCTTCAGGCACTACGAAATGCAGGCAGTTTGCACGTGTGGTTTTTTCGTTGCGGGCACGCACGTTTGCGTTGCGGCTGCACTGTCAACAGCAGCCTCGCAGAAACCAAACAAACACCGCACGGCCCCGTATTCGTTGTGTAGGTTTGTCGCTGCAAGCGCTCGGCTTTTGTTGCTCATCGATTGTGTTGGCCGCTCGCTACGCGCCTGGCACAGCACACGACCTAGTCTTTTTTGTCGACTGTCCACGTCTAGCGTGTCGACGGACCACTTTTCATAAGTCAGGCCTCAGCCCGGAGGACATGTTCTGGGCTAGGAATCTTCCCGAGCTGTAGCCAGCGCCAGCAGCAGCGCAGCCGCCTGCTGCATTTTGAGCCGCTAGCGACCCGTCTCGTGCGTACATATAATAGTGTGGTTCTGTCAGGTAGTATGTCTATATAGGCGAGTCCACGCCCTACTAGTATATAATGTCGGCATCTCTACGCTGTGTTTCCTAGTCAGGTCTTGAGAAGTATTCGGACTGTTTATGCCGCACGGCACACAGCAATGGTGTCAAGTATCACGTCATTCGTGTCTACAATGTAGATATCACAACAGATGGGTAGCTATCCCCCCCCCATCCAAGGGGTTCGCCAAAGCACCAAGGGCTGTCAGGCGATATGTGCTGTGTTTGCTCACGCATGCGCCTTCGCTGTGGCAGCAGACTAGACTACCGTCTCAGCAAAGGCGGCGTAGCCATGGAGTCATTCGTGCCCAGGCGCTTATGCGCTTGCTAACGGCTGCAGATCCTCCTGCCCCTCCCTTTCGTTGACTGACTCCGCGCTAAACGTTCTCCACGTCCAGAACGGTCAAAATCGGCCTCGTTGAATAACGTCGTGAACCCCGCCGCCAGAGGGTCGAGCTCGTGTGTGGTACGGCCTTGTGGAGCCCTAAGCCTTCAGTACATCGGCAATTCGCCACCCCCACCAAGCGCCATTGAGGAAGAGGGAATAGGAGGAGAAGAAGAAGCGACATGGCGGCGCCGACAGTAGTCTTGCAGGTGGTGGTCACGGGGGGAGCGGGCCAGATAGCCTACTCCTTGATCCCGCTGATCGCGAGGGGGCTGGTCTTCGGTCCGCGGACGAGGGTGAACCTCCGGTTGCTGGATATCCCCCCTTCGGCCTTGGCCCTGGAAGGTGTGTAGAAAACAACACACACGCGCGCACACACACATGTGTTTGTGCTTTTTGTTCCGCTGTAAGGCTGGCGCCTTTTCATTGGTCAGCGGTCGATGCTATTTAGTTCAGAAACACACACGCATTTCCTGTCTTTTTTCCGCTGCCTGCTGCTGCTGCTGCTGCTGGCTGGCTGGCTAGTACGGACTTGCAGCCCGTAACAACTACCGCTGCAACTAGTTGGTGGGCGCACGGTTCGATGTAGATGGGTCAAGCGTCGATCCGGTTGCTGGGCATCCCACCCTTGCAACTAAGGCCGTCGAGAGTCGTCATGCTTCCTTGCCGCACATCGTGCTGTCTGCTCACGGGAACAGTTACGCCGTGGATACCTCAATACCTGAGTCGGGTTCAATCCACTCCGCGCACGCTGTCTCGCATAGTTGCGGCACTGCTGTCTCGAGCCCCCCCCCTCCCCCCCCC